AGGCCCAGGAGTAGGACTGCTGCAGGTCCTTTATTTTGCAGTGGACCTGCTCCTGGGTCCGCATGTGGCTTCTGGTGGCCAGGCTGTCAGCCATGCGGCTGTAGACGGCCGCATTCCTGTGGCTAGTGCGGAGACCGTGGTCATTGGAGGCCTCCCCCCAAACCTCAATGAGGTCCACAATATCTGCACTAGATCAGGCGGCCCCCCGCCTCTGGCGGCCCGGGGCAGGCTCCTGTGAGCTGCCAGCCTGGTCCTGGGAAGAGTTGGATGGCTGGGTGGCAGCGGGTGGCTGGCTCATGCCGTGCCAGGTGCAGGGTCTGCTGGCTGGGTGCTGACAGGCTTGCAACTGGCACAAGCACTGTAGCCATACCGTGCCCTTTTAAGGGCTCCGGAGCTGGGAGGGGGGCGAAAGAGCTTCCCTGGTTTGGCCCAGAGTGGCCACCAGGGCAACCTGGGAAGGGCTAGCCTCCAACTAGTTCGAATTAAGTGGCTACACAGCCCTTAATTCGAACTACTTAATTTGAACTAGGTGTTACTCCTCATAGAATGAGGTTTACCTAGTTCGAATTAAGTGCTCCACTAGTTTGATTTAAATTCGAACTAGCGGTTTGTATGTGTAGCCCCTATTACAGTTAATTTGAACTAACGGCTGTTAATTCAAATTAACTTTGTAGTGTAGACATACCCTTATTGCTGGAAAATACAGTACAGTAAATTTAGTTCCAGACACTTATATTCTTCCTGAGTCCAACAAAAGGAAAGTTTTCTAGAACGAATTTCCAAATCCACACACTTTCCCACTGGCCCAAAGATTTCACTTCTTACCACCCTGGCTTATTAGACATTGGGAGATACTGAGGATAGCATTGATCAATATTCGTGCCAGCAATATTTTTATTCAGCGGAGTACAAGCCAGGCTATCAAGCAAGCTACTATGAACCTCTGATATACGGCAGTCCTGGAATCTCACAAAGTAGAGCCATTGAGGAAAGTAGAAAAACTCCAGTCTCAGGAGCAGAAGGAGAAAGCATTAAATACAGAAGCAGCTGGGTTCCATGTTAGGTTAGAGATTCATTCTAATGGCTACAGATGAGGATTTAATGGTGTCAAGCCTGATTCTAAAGGGAGTAAGCGTGGAAAAGTGGCAGGACAGTCCTTACTTGGAGGTGCATTTGTAGCTGAGAACACCAGTGTGAAGGAGCTCTGCCAAAGGACAGTTCCCTCCTCACCACTTTGCACTGGTTAATCCTAAAAGACAAAAAGTCTTGCTGAAGTGGATTTACTTCAGGGCTGTGCGTAGATTCTGATGTTAAGCACAAGTTCAAGATAGCCTTTTAAACTGTGTTGCTAAGTATTAAGCCTATTTTAGTCCTGGTAACTGTGACTCACCTCCCTTCAATAGCTGTCTCTTTTTTATTCATTTTATTGTTTTACGTTAAAGGTTATTGGCAATGATATTTCTTTCTCCCTGCAAAGGAACATCTTTTGTCCTAATGATTGTGCCATATAGGTCCACAAAGAGAATACAAAATACCCTGATGCTTATGGTAGTCAATCATATATCTCCACAGTACATGGGTCTGATACAAGAAGCTGACTTTGTGTGGAATATAAAGTCTTTTGCCTCTAGAGTTCCAGTTTTAATCTGGCAGAGGCTCCTCAGTGGCTGAAAACTAGTCTGATCTGATGAATGTTTGTTGGAAAAAGTAAAATGAGATTCTGCTCACACTGGGCATCACAAAACCACCAGCACTACTGATACCAAACTGATAAAGGTAGCCATCTCAGAGGGCTGAATGGATCCGGGAACCTAGCCAGTGATGATATATTGATTTACACCACTGAGGAGCTAACCCTCACTCTCTGTATCTGGCTGTGGACCGAGGCACTTACAGCAATGAGGGAAACTTACAGTAGTAAGGCAATTAGAGGGTGACAGCAATGTAACAGAACACTTTACTCTTCAAGGCTGCCAAATGGTACCAGCTAATTCCTTGGACCTCTTCTTAGAGTAGCGGGTGTTGTCTGTGGTTCCGTGCTTGGTTGCCTCATTTTAATCCCATGATTCAGTTTCATGTCTGGATTCTGTGGCCTCCCTCACCTGAGTGGGAAGACTTTGGGTCTTTTGGTGGGATTGGTCATTACATAGGCTGGTACCTTTCAACATCACTAACAACATTGTTCAAAGAATGTAAAACAAACTGTCTAAAAGGCAGGCCCATAATATACATACGAGCTGAAAGCAAAGAGAAATAACCAGGTCTAACTCTAGGTTTTAATGGTGTCCTGTTCTGAATATCACAGGTACTCCAGCAGAAAAGAAGGCAGAACCTCCTCCAAGCAAGCCCACCGTTGCCAAAGCAGGAATAGCAATTATTAAAGATTGTTGTGGAGCCACACAATGCACCATCATGTAGCTCCAGGTTCTCTACCAAGTCTATCTTTACAAATGTTTTCATTGGATAAAACTGTAGGGTGAAAGGATTTTAAAGCAGCCTGATAATCGAATCAAGAAATACTGTAAACATTACAGTAACGTACTGTATGTACCAATGGTGAATACTTCACTGTTGCATGGATCACTCAATGCGCATGCTTAAAACAAAAGAATATATATAGCAGTTGTCCAATGACCAGAAAAGATATGTAAAAATAGCTAAAAGAACAATACAATTCTGTGGCAAGTGATTTAGAAAAGTGTATATTTTACCAAACAATGTTTAAAATAGTGGTTTTAAAAATTCAGCACTTTGTATAATTTGTTACACACTTTTTTCCCTTGACAAATTTCATTCAAACACATGCCAAGGTCTGAATATAAAAGTATCCTATCTTGGCTGTTTTTCAAAATGAAATCTCAGAGTACTGATACTGTACATAGTACAACTAGTAGGCAAAGCAATTTAGTATAACTGGTGTTGCATAGAAAATATTTACTGAACTAGTATGACATTTGGCTACTTTGCTGTGTAGTTTCATTTCCAGTTCTTCATAGGGAACAGATAAGAACAACTGAGATCCTGCTCATTGGCTTGTATTTTATTGTGACATTTTAATGATAAGTGATCAAATGTCCTATGTTACTTTTAAACAACCCAATTCAAATGGAAATTATCTATCCGTTTGGAAATTGGTTTCAGCTAAATTCTTAGCAGGCACAGCTACAATATTGGTGTAAATTCAAACACTGCATCATTTATTGGCTTTTAAGCCCTCCACCTTGCAGAGATGTAATAATACTGAGAATACAGTCAACTATGTTAAAACCACAACTAAATGCACTAAGAAATTATGTATCACAGACTAAATAGATTGCTGTCCAAAAGGGAAGAAAAACACGAAGGCAGCAGGATCATTTCACTTATGAAGCAGGGTGCTAAAATGGGCTATTAATCAGATTCTTAATGGCTATGGGAAACAATCGCTGTCAAGCATTATAAAAAGACAATACATCTCTGAACTCTGCCTTCAAGATTAAAAATAAGCTTAAAAGATGATGTTTTTGCTTGTAACAAGTTAGCAATACATAAAAAGTGGTTTTGAAATTAAGGGGAATACAGTTAGATCTGCTACATTTGTGTTTCATGTTTAATTGCATTTTTTATTGATACCAAGATGGACACGTAAAATATGGTTGTCCCTTTACTACCTGTCAGTAAAATGGTGCATCTGTGTGACTAGTTAGTATACCACGTGTATAAATGTATGTTGTGATGGGTGTAAATAATTAAATGAAGATGTTCTGTTGTGAAAGTATTGGGCTTAAAAAGAGATGGCAGGATATTCCTAAAAGAAAAATGTTTTTCAAATTGAACAGCCATTTCTTAATGCTGGATAAGCAAAACCTTACATATAAACCCACAGTAAATAATAATTACAGCAGGGGAAGCCAATAAAAATACCTGAAACGTGCTTAACTAAAGGCAGATGTTAAACATTTCTGAAAGAGCTGAAGCAGTTCAGGTTCAATATCAACATCCAAAGTAGCTGGTCCTATTGTTATATAAAAACCAAACGGCCTAAGTGGGATTGCTCCAATGTGCAGCATTTGCATTTCTAAAACAACCGTTGCACTGTCACAGAGCCCCATTTCAAGAATCATACTACAAGAATAAAGAGCAGCAGTGGAGCAGGCCTAAGAAACAAAGGAAGTATGTTACTGCAAAATGTTCCTTAGAGACTGAAATAAGAAGAGAAAATTTTCCTTGAGATACCAGCAGCACTTTAAGTATTTTAACCAAAAAGTGTTTTCTGCCAGGCAGGAAAGAAGATAAGCTTATTTAAAGACCGGGTTGTACTATCTGGATGTACGTGTGATTTCACATTCATCTCTGGAGCTGTGGGAATTTGGTGTACCCAGATTTGGGCTAGGTTGGTTGCAGGGTCAATACAACATGTGCATAAAAGCAGGGAATTGTTTATAGTCCAAATAAACTTTAAGGAAAATGCACATAACAGACTGTGGACAATTAAATCACTTTCTGAAGTTTCTGGTACCTTCTCATTATTTTGGACCAGTTCCTCATTCTCTATCATGCAGTGTCTTGTCAGAAATATCGGATGGTTGAATATTATCAACAGGGGTGAGGAAGGCTGTAGGTAGTGCTAGGAGTGGGCTTGCTCAGAAAGTATCAAATTTAAGGTCTCAGAGGAATCAACTATTTCACATACTGCTTTATTTTGATGGATCAGGGAAGCTGGGGTTCTTGAATAATAGGCTAATCACAAGGCTGCAACTGACAGAGGGAGAGAGATGACTGGGATATGGGAGGGCTATTAGGAGTATTTAGACTTTCAGATAGATGACTGTCCTTGATTAAGATAGGAGATACTGCTGGGGATTCACATCTAGGAAGGGCTCCAATCAGCAGGATGGGAAGTGTGCCTGGGACAGCAAATTCAATTAAGAGAAAGCACCAATACAAACCTTTGTGTGATTGGGCATTCATTTATTGCAGCACATCTCTATAGTTTCGTGCCTGTAAAACAGCCTGTCACAATTAAATTAAAAACAAACAGCAAAGCAAAGCAGAGCTAAGCATCTGTGAACATGGTTGTAATCAGGCAGTTGCAATTGGTGTCTTGAGGGAACGGAACTAAAGTATCAGTAATGAAAGTGATCCTCTAGTTTTCAGAATTTACAGTTCAGATCAGCTGGTTTATCAGTGGAGTCTTAGTTGTATCTATTTTGGGTAGAGTAAGGTGTAGAAATCAAGAGACTTGGCCAGTGTGTTATATCAGTGGTTCACTTAAAAATAGAATCAAGGATCTGGAGGGCCACAAGTCTTGTAATGAAGTATTAGACAGTGCATAGTCAGATTTTCTGGAGCCTAACTCTGCTTCTACTGAAGTTAGTGGGGTTTTCACTCCAACCCAAGCAGAATTAGGTGTGGATGCTTATTTAAATCCCAGTCATTTTCTTGAAAACTAGACTCATGCAGTATTCCAAATGAGAGATTAAGGCCATTTAACTCCTCTTAAAGTCAGGAAGAGCCATATAGCTAAATCCATCAGGGTATGTCTACACTACCACCGTAGTTCGAACTAGGGTGGTTAATGTAGTCATTTGAAGTTGCAAATGAAGCCCGGGATTTAAATATCCCGGGCTTCATTTGCATCTTGCCGGGCGCCGCCATTTTAAAATCCCCGTTAGTGTGGACTCGGTGCCCGCAGCTACACGCGGCACGGAGTAGGTAGTTTGAATTAGGCTTTCTAATTCGAACTACACCCAGCAGGCTCTGTTAAATGTCTCACATTGGGGCCTTTCAAAACTGAGGCATCTAAAAATCACTAATCACATCTGAAAATCTCAGCTAAGTATATTTTAACAAGCTGCAGTCATGGAAAGAAGTCTGTGAGGGTATGTCTACACTACCACCCTAGTTCGAACTAGGGTGGTAGTGTAGACATACCCTCACAGACTTCTTTCCATGACTGCAGCTTGTTAAAATATACTTAGCTGAGATTTTCAGATGTGATTAGTGATTTTTAGATGCCTCAGTTTTGAAAGGCCCCAATGTGAGACATTTAACAGAGCCTGCTGGGTTGGTAATTTCTGAAAATTATGCCACTTAACTGGGCACTCAAAATCACTATTCATTTCTGGCCATTTACTACCATTTGTATCAAGTTAAATGCCAACATATCAGAAAATTATAGATGTTCAAGAGAGAGAAGACATGTTAGAACATCAAGTCCATCTGCCAACAGAGGATTGCTCCCCACTGATACACTAAGTTACATTTTGTGAAGGATTTCACCATCCCAACATACCTCCCCTGCCAGGAGAATCATGAAACTGTCATTGGTACTGAACTCTCTCATTCTGCCATCATGTGATTCCAACATATCTTCTTACAGAGTAACTGAAACTCTACAAATTAGAGATAAACATGTTTCTGAATGAATTAAAATATAGTGTTGCATAAAACATTTGCTATTTATCTTCCAGCTACCAAGAACAATGAGTAGTTGTGAACTAGAGTAGGATGTACATGTGTCTTGCGCAAGACCTCTTTCCAGAAAAGTTAGATTAACTTTGTGCAAAAAAAGACTAATTTTGTAAATTCATATTGTCTGTGAAAGATACCTGAAGGGCTCTATTGGAAGGAAAAAATGCGCAGTCTCCCACCGATTACACTCCATAGAACTAGAACTCAGTAAACAGGAGCCACTTCCATCAACTAAGCACCGCAGAAGTATAATTTGCCATATCTTAGAAAGATGCAGAAATCAAGAGACAGTCCTGTGTTCAACCTCAGTCATTTGTAAGGTGAGATGGAAGAAGGGGGTAAGAGAGGTAAAGCTCTTTGTGGCCAGTGGTACTAGGCCAAGAGTTATTTTTATTTAGTATCTAACATTGGCCCCACAGCAAATCGTTGGCTCTTTCTGATTCAGAGATAAAAGCTGTCCCTGGTGAAGGTGGTTTTAACTTTTGTGGGCACAACCCACTTCTTCAGATGAGTGGAGTAAGGGGTCCAGGGAAGAAATAAATAGAGAAAAAAAGGGGATGGGGCAGGAAAGAGAGGAAGAAAAATAGGAAAAAACATTGCCAATTGGTGTCTCTGTGCTAAATGAGGCTAATAGAGTGGGCTGTAAGTGTCTGGTGCTTAACTTTTTATATCATCACAGTGAGGAATGTAGCATCCCATCCAGGGCAGGTGCTGCAGAACTATTTGTTGTTTTTAAATGTTTTCAGTTAGGCTGTGTCTACATTGGTGTGATCTTGCGCAAAAGCAGCTGCTTTTGCGCCAAAACTTGCTACCTGTCTACACTGGCTGCGAGTTCTTGTGCAAGAACACTGACGTTCTAATGTATGAAATCAGGGCTTCTTGCACAAGCACTATGATGCTTCCGCTCAGGAATAAGCCTTCTTGCGCAACTGTTCTTGCACAAGACGCCAGTGTAGACAGGCAATATGAATTTCTTGCGCAAGAAAGCCCTATGGTTAAAATGGCCATCAGAGCTTTCTTGCACAAGAAAGCATCTACACTGGCAAGGATGCTCTTGTGAAAAAGTACATCTCTTGTGCAAAGGCACATGCCAGTGTAGATGGTCTCTTCTGGAAGAGTTTTTGCACAAGAACTCTTCCGCAAAAGAGTTCTTGCGCAAAATCATGCCAGTGCAGACGTAGCCTTAGGGTATGTCTACACTTCCAAGGAACACGTTTGCTCTTCTGCTTTTTTTTGCAGAAGAGCAAATGCGCTTTCGGGGAGCCCTATATACCTCCTTCTACGAGGAATAAGGCAGAAAAGCCTCTTCCAGAAAAGCAATTGGAAAAAGCTATAGCGTGGACCACCCTTACAGACTAACACATCTACTCCTTCTGAGACTTTTCACAGGGGTCACCATTCACAGAGGGGAATACATTTTTATAAGTAGATACTTTAGGCCATCATCCAAACTTACCCAACTACATCCTGAAGAGCAGCATAAGCAAAAGAGGAAAGTTATGGAATGGCTGTATCTTTTGTGGTAAATGGAGTCCTTTGTGTTTTATTTGGTTGATAACCATACATTTATATTTGATTGTCAAGTTTTGTTCACACTTCATATTTTCCCAAATGGGCTTAAAAACCTTTCTGCAATCAGTTAAATACATGTCAGTAACATATTTCTTTCTTCTAATTTATTTTCCCATTATATTATCCAGTTGGACCCTGACCCATGCTGAGCCAAAAAAATTAACATAGTTTTGAACTAATAAAGTACTGAACAACCAGGTTACTTGATAAGTTGAATTTTGAACTGAAAGATGGCTTAGGCTTATGGGAAGTGAGGGCTGTTTTTTAGCTATTCATCCTTTAGTGTTTAAAAGGTAAGGAGAAATCATAATTTTAGATCCAAACACCCTGAGATCTATTGGAATTAGTTCACAGATGGCTCTTTCCTATCTAGTTGGCTAAAAAACAAATCCCCGAATCAACAATTTCTGGGCCTCTTCTTTACAACAGACAGGGCTGAATGAAATGTCTGAATCTGAACATACCAAGATGTCAGGGAAGTTTTGATCTGGATTCCAATTTTGTGGTTTAGACCCAATGCATAGGT